ATAAACTAGTTTTTTCAATCCGCTAGCGGTTTGGACTCTAACTGCTATCCGCTAATCTCAAACCGTTAAATAAAAATTTTACCAAACATTTTATTTATAACGGTTTCGAAATATGTAAATTTACCAAACACCTGTATTTAACTGTTTACGTAAAACCGCTAACCATTACCCCAAAACTACTATACCAAACAGGACCTAAAAAAAATTATACACTCCTACTTTTTTTCTATCACTAATTAATTTTAAATTAAATATTTCGTTTTTCACTGATGCGCCACATCTACATGGTCCAAACAGTATCATTCTCAATCACCAAGAAACAATGACAAGTCATATGGCAAGAAAAAGTGCTTGCATTTAGTAGTCAACATTAGCTGCATTAAGGCAGCAATAAATTTAGCGGACTTCCCCCGTTTTCCACAACTAAATTCCACAAAGCCTTTTGGGTCCCTATCTCCCACGGTGGGGATGAGGCTTGGAGCAACAGGAGCCACACAAGAAATGCCACGGTTCAGTTCTTTTGCTTTCTTATGAGATTCTAAAGATCAAAATGCCGCCTTCTCAGGGAAATTCCTCCCCAAAATAAACCCACGTTTTCTCTTAGTTGTGCTGATTTTAATAATGTCTAGTTTTATTCAGTCAAGCACGTTTCTCCCGACCGGGGCAATCGATTGCTGTACAAAACACGTCTTTGGATCCATTAAAAAATGACTCTGGAATTCTAGTTGGATAAATGCCATTTGGCACCTCACCTTGTAGTTGTACTCCAGATGAGTCCCAAAGGTTTCATTTTTCAATACATTACCATCTGCTTTCAACTGGGTGGAAAAAAAATATGTACACCAACCATAAGCACTACATTAATCCTAAGGTTGCATCTGAACTAAGATCTATTAATTTATAAATTGTTTGTGCTTGAGTTCTTAAGGGTTCAATTTCAATTTCAATTTAGATTTTGAAAATTATATTAGTGTGATTATTCATTTGTTCGTTTTATTTCGTATGCATTTAGTCAACATATACATAGTGTAGTCCAAGGAAATTTGAAGGAGGTGTGGGCATTCCTAATTAATGTCATAGCTTGGTCCATTTTGAAGGGACGATGCAAATTGATTTTCATCGACATTGAAGACCCAGTGAAAAAGGCTTTTGAAGCAATCTTGGTTAGATCTTTTGTGGTTAAGGACAAAACTTCAATATGCTCATTCTCTCTTTATGATTGTTGTAGCAATCCCATTTTGTGTGTTGAGGGTATTGCATAGTTTGATGCTGAGACATTAATAAAAATGCTTCATTGAGGAGGTATTGACTTTGATATTTGTTTTGGATAGTTTTAGTTGTTTAAATTGGTATGAAACATGCCATAGAATGTAATAAATAGAGGAACCCATTGTACCTCCTTAACAAAATCTGCCTTTATAGCAAAGGATGTTAGTAAGAAACTCTAAAAATTTTGGCATTTAATTGCTAAAAATGTATAGGTTTGGTATCCATCTGAAATCATTATTACAAGTTAGGAACAAGAAGTGATTTCCCGTGGTTCGCGTTTTTAAAAAAAAAAAAAAAATATCTTCCAGTAATTTTAAAGTCTTTGACGTTGAAATGATGCATTCAAAAAATTTTTTTTGAATGCTGAGCTTAAAATTTAAATTCTTAACTTATTTTATAAAATAATATTTATTTATTAATAAATCTAAAAATTAGTATTTTCAAAGTTAATCACCTTTGATTATTGTAAAATAAAGATACAATTTTTGCATTAGTTAAAATAAAGATAATTTAAATATAAATTTAGCATGTGACATCACATAAGGCTAAAAATTAAAGACAAAATTTTATATTTGAGTTGAAC